TGGAGGGCATAGGTGTGTTTACGACTGTGTCAAGTAATATGTATCTTTGCCAGTTTAGACAGGGTTTCTAGAACCTTTAGTTGTAATAGTGTAATATTTCAATCATGTTTAGAAATTCAATCTCTCAACTTCTATTCTGTTAGATATTAATCAAAACACACTCTGCAAAATTTAGCGTAGTTTCATCAGGTATACCTATGGTTCTCAAATTAATCACCTTGCCATAAAGTTGGTCATAAAAGTATAAAAGGTAGTTATCTGCTGGTCAGAATTGCAACTGCCACTTCCATAGTAATGGACTCTTCACTTGGAGGAAGAGGCTTTCCAATATACCATATGACCAAACTCCTGATCATATTAGGTTTTGCTCTACAGGATATCTGCATAGACGCAGTTTTACTGAACTCTGTGATGATTCGCTCAATATTACTTGAAAATTTAACATTGTAATGGCTACCTGTTCCAATTGTAAGAATGAAAAAAAAAATTACAGATAGAAATCATTGACTTTCTAATATGGATGATGACATATCATACTGAAGAATGAATGCCATTGAAAAGGCTGGTGGAAATACCCCAGGCTTGTGAATGGAGAACAAGAAAGGTTTATCAGTGTTGAGCATATTACAGGGATATAGATCTCCTCATCGATTCTGAAGCAGGAAATCTGTGATTGGGTTACATAAAAGGCAAGTTACAATTGTGCCCCATTACCCTCTAGCTTCCCATCTCTTGTTTTAACTATGTGCAATGTATTGTACTTCATTTCATAGAGTTGGATACTTTTGCAGTTTCTGTGCAGAGTATCTCTCATTTTTTTCATTTTGTATGGTTGCCATATAGGCTCTTCCTAAGTAGTTATTAATATGTTAAAGATTATGTGATATAAAACTTAATAATTTTTTGAAGTTCTTGGTTATATGACACCTCTACATTTATTTTGATACATGATACTCTATCCTAATACAGAAACTTTTTACCCAACATTTTCTTGCTGAAAATTCCAGTTCAGTAGATTGTTTTGTACCTGATGAAATCTCAATGTTTGTACCGGTGAGGTGGTACACAAACCTCTCCCTGGTTGTCATCAGGCACACCTCACTTGCAATAACTCTTGGGTTGTTTTAGTTACATGGAGGTCTGGGTCAAGTTGGGATGAAGAGAAACCCTGTAGAGACTGCACATTCTTTTGTGGGGATTTAGTACTTGTGTAACCCATAGAAAGGAAAACGTTTTTGCTGGGGAGTATCTCATTCTGCAACTCATGACAGTAAGAAATGATTCTGCTACATCAACTTGATGGAGAAGAGGGTGTCATCTTAGTACCGATGACTTTAAATAACCCACAAGCATTCCAGTCTATTATTCTATATTTTTCTTTCTTTGAGTAAATGAATTCCTTAATACACACAAAGCATTTAATTCACCCTGTTTTAGGAGTCATTGCAAGTATCGTTCAGTATTTCTGGAGAGGTATATATCATGTTTTAATCTTGTTAATGTATTTTTTCTTAAGCTAGAATACATGAAATCTGACTTGAGCAAAGTTTGAGCCAACCTCTCCTTTTAACATTCCTTATGTGATACAATCCAATATTTGAATAAAACGATTGTGCTTTATATTTTTTTCCAATTTGGGGAGCAATTCACAGCCATGAAATCTGGTCTCGTTTGATCAGATCAGGGAGTCTAAGCCAAAGCAGTAGTTTATAACCTGCTGTTTACTTTCTGTAGGAGGTTGAGCTACTTCAGAGGGTCAAATGTACTGATGAAATAAAATTACACTCTCTCTTTATTTGAGGGAATGATTGACTCGATCCAAAATTGTGCAAGATGTGTAAAGAATTTCACCGAACAAAGAAAAACCTAACTATTAATTTGCCATGTATATTTAGAACGGAACCGATTCTATTTTTGAACAGGTGTCAACTATGACTATAATGTATATTTTCAACTATTTCTATCATAGGTTGAAGAACAGCATGACATTGTGTCAATGATGTGTCCAAAATGATTAAAGAAAATAAAACATTATACATTCTTTTCTTCAAACCTGTCAAAGTAACACAGATATATGCATTATAGAAATACTCGTACGTCTTGGTGGTAAAAACTGAAGATGGTACATTGTCAGTCATGGTATTTTGTAAAGAAATCCTGTGTACATGACATTGAGTAATAAGAAGTAAATATTGAGCCCTATAGCAGTGACATCAAATTGGGGAGCACATCGAGACATGTTAATGGTGAACTACTACCGTAACTTATAGATGTAATATGTACAGAACAGTATAGGCAAAAGTAAAACTATCCATTACATGAAAACAAAAGCAAGAGATAAGAGAATACAAGATTTTCTGAAACTGATAACTAGCAAGAAGACTGATAAAAAACAAGAAATTAAAATATACACCAAAATACGAGAAACAAAAGATTACACTATTGCACACAAAACACATACAAACAAACCTATAAGTTTAAATTATGAGTAAAGAGCGACCAGGAATACAAGTTTTACGTCATGAGTCCCACAGAAAAGTGTAGGAGAAAATGAGATCGCCTGGAGTTGTAAGATTGCCTGATTAACTTCTTTTTGAGCTTCTTACCAATGTTTGGCTTCCCGGTTGTGGCCCCAAATCCCTTGCTTGTTGTCATGGGAGGTCCTAGCAGACGGAGACTGAAGCCCAATGTAGGGGATCACTCCTACAACAAATTTTGATTGGTCTTTTCTTCTGCCCCCTTTCCTTTTCCTCTTTTTTATCCCCTTCTTTTGTCGACTTATCCTAATTCGTTAACTCGTCTTTACCCTTTCGCCACAATTCTATATAGTTCTATATGACTCTTGACATCTAGAACATTTATTTGTCTTTACCATTAACATTAACCATTCCCGGTTTTGAGCGTCAATGTCACATATCTTTATATTATCATGCAATGCAGCTCTGAATCTCTTCCTTTGGCCGCTTTTTTTACTTTGTCTGCTTTAACCCGAGAATGAATATTTGCATCAGGAAACGTTACTCTTTCAACCGAACGACGTGACTGCTCCATCTTACTCGATTCTTGATGACGTAGGTTTCAGTGCTTTCTATCTTTCTTTCATTCGCATTCTGACTGGTTCCCGAATCCTCTGTATTTAAAACATCTCTGGGACAATGTTGATAGAAAATTCGCCTGCCTCTAAAAGTCGTCGGTAAACTGTCTAAGATTTGGACATACATAGGATAGTTGGGACCACCACTGATTTATACACAAATAGTTCTGGATGAGCAAAGTAGATCTCAGATGGGATTGCTCGTGAGTTAAATTAACGAACACCTCTGCTTCTGACCAAAAGGTTCATCTCTTCCGCGCCGGTTCTTTACCGGGAACTTCCAGCCACCATTCCTGATAAAGAAAAGGCTTAAAAATCTTAAATGTTCATAAAAGATGTAACAGAGGCTGCTATGATAATAATAGTCATAGTCAAGATGTTAATGATAAACATTTTCTTGTTAGTGATATATACATTTTTGTCAGAAAGATAACATAGAAGCTTTTCTGATGTCTTAGGGGTCAATTTCGTGTACAGTATATTCTTTTATCAATACCACATCCTGCTGACCTTGCTCTATTTAGATACCTGTGAGGTGTGACACATATTTGTGTGTGTGTGTGTGTGTGTGTGTGTGTGTGTGTGTGTGTGTGTGTGTGTGTGTGTGTGTGTGTGTGTGTGTGTGTGTGTGTGTGTGTGTGTGTGCGCGCGCGCGCGCGTGCGTGCGTGTGAGGGGGGGGGGGGGGTCACTGCGACCTAACTAACTTTCTGTGACTGAGCTGAATACTACGAGGGTGGAGTTCGAGAGTACGCGAAACAATTGGTCTTTTAGAATATCCTGCACGGTTATGCAGATAATCACTTCAAAAACACTGACTCTTAGTGTTACCATGACAAAAAAAAAGAGAAAAAAGAAAAGAAAAAACATTCCAACCAGATGGACGAGAACTGAATATATACCTAAAAAAAATAATATTTTTCTATCACTATTTCCTGTATTAACATTTTGGTTATTGCATAAAGCCCAGTATTAAGAAAGAAATCAAAATACTTTAAAATTCACCCATTAAAAATGTTCATCTAAAACCCCTTACACATACATAATAAACATAGACACACAATGCATTGCCTTAATGATAACATATGACAACAGATCCAACAATAACACATAACAATAACACCAACAGCATATAACAACAAAAACAACAACAATAATAACACATAACAATAACACCAACAGCATGTAACAACAAAACCAACAACAATAATAGCACATAACAACATAGATTCTGTCCCCTTTCTCTGAGGTCCTCGGCACAACGTTTTCTAAGAACAGAATCCGTTCAGCCACGAGCAAGGAGGAGCAAGTGTGATGATGGGCGCCACTTAAAACTCCTCCCGAGAAACTGGACGGTCAGCCTCGAACATATGACCTCTTAGTCCCGGAGATGAAACCGATGGAAGGTCAAAGAGAGTGTTGTTAAGAGATACGAGGTTTATTTATTTATTTTTTTTTCTACTTATTGTTATCATTGGTACGTTCTTACCTGCGTTTTTGTTAAGAATCTTTGTTTTTTGTGTGTTTCATTTTACTTAGTTCCTTGTGCTTTTCTTCGTCTTCGTCTTGTTTTTGTTGATTGTCATTAACGGTTCATTACTTTTATCATCATCAGTCTCATGGGTACAAGAATTACCAATTTTAATTCTGGTCATTATTAGCATCAAGGCGGTATCATCATAGCATCATAATATATGTCATCATAATGAAATCGTGGTTTCACATATAACATATAGTTATAACATTACCATAATCATTAACACAACTGAATATCACCATAGTATTATCGTAAGTATCACCACAAGTGTCGCCTCTACTCAGGAAATTCAAGATGAAGAAACAGCGTTAAAAAGGGTGACAGGGGAAACGCAAATGTTCTAAATAGCCTTTATTAAAATGATACATCAAGTGTGTTGATTATTTATGAATTTTCTGAGCTTTGTTATTATCAAATTATTAGGTAAAAATTCTTTCCCTCGTTCTTTTTAACGTTCTATCTCACGCATTTTTACTATATACACCAATTCTGTTTAGCAGGGAACAAAGGTTAATGATAACAAAAACTTATAAAGATTAATTCAGTAAGGAAGATTATATAGGCCTACCTCGTTATCAAACTCTATTCATACACTGTTTTATATACTATGGTCACGGTATTCTGGTCTTCGTGGTCTCGGCGCTCGGAAAAGGTGGCTTTGTACTTCTGACCTCATTTTCCTGGCCAGTTTTCGGGCTTCGGTGAGATCCTGCATAAGTCTGTTTTACACACAAAAAATAAAACGATGCTCCATCACTTTGTGTTTTAGATCCGATCAAACAATATTCACATCTTATAATTTGAATACAATCAGATGGCGCAAAATATTAAACAACCACAAAAGTGTATTATCCTTAAGACTATGGATATACATATTCTGAAGGCGTGATGTAGCAACACGCAAATCGCCTTCCTAGAACCTACCTTCTCAACCAGCACAGTTGTTGCGTGGATAATATATCCGGTGAGCCCGAAATATCGGGGACAAGGAGACGTCTATCGTGTGAGAGCGAAGGACAGAAGATGAGCCGAGACCAAGAACCTTAGTAATCAATGACCAGGATACTTTCGGCCCCGTTGCGATAGCCTCCTCACTGCCCTCCCTAAGTGGCCTCCCCTCAGAGATGTTTATTCTAACGGTTCATTGGCACGTCGGTCTTTCCGCTGCAGACGCGATTAACGTTAAGTAAATACCTCTCACAGATGATCTCTGTTCGGATGTAGGAAGGTAAACGTCTTGGCAGCTCGGTGAAAAACGTTCTCCAGTGCCAGCCGCAACTACGGGTAATTTTGCGTTAATAAACACTTACGCTCTTATTCGTAAGTGTAAATAATTAAAAGGTAAATAGTATGAATATTTCAGAGCTTACTAAGCGTAGTTGTGCCTCGTTACACATCAAATACGAGGCTTAATATAGCTAACGCGCAACTCCATTCAGAAATCCAGTGATGGCAACTTCCATTTCTGTGCGAGTACGACTTCACTTTCGTAATAAGAAATCTTTGTTCTCAGTAACTACTATATTTCATTTGCATATATGACTAATGCAGTAAAAAGACACTCACGTATACTACTAACAGATTTTCCAAGTGAATATCACACCAGAGTCCACAAAGATACAGAGCCGAACACAAGGACTCCAATTAAGAACGAATTGAGCCGCGGGAGCAAGGTGAAGTCTTCATATTTCATCCGAATGTAGTTGAAGTTTGATGAATAAATATAAGGTATGCTGTATTTAGAAGTGTATCAAAGGAGTTTGTATATAAGAGGGCTAAAAAAGAGTATTAAAAATGTAAATATTTATTGAAATGTGTATTTCTAAAGTAGTTGTTAAAGTCAAGACATAGGCCTATGCATATATCCTGTCGCAGAGAAAAATAAATCCATTTTTAGTTTGTATTTAAATGAATCTACATTGACACTTTACTTCAAGTAGTAGGCACGGCTTTCCATGTTAACAGGATCAGTATAAAGAATATGTTTAGTTAACTGAGTCAGTTTAGTATGTTTATGAGATTAATGGATTACAGAGTTTAGTAAAAGAGCTATCAATGTTCACACATTCATATATTACACCGAGTTCAAATATTCCAAATTCCTTGAATATGTTTCTAATATACTCAGAGTCAAATTAATATATAAATCGTTCGTGTAGATTCATATAAGCCATAAATTAAAGACTCAGATAACTCGTCATTAAGGGGGTAATTAATTAAGCGTGACTAAAACACTATAAAAGAGATACGAAAACTGAAACCTTCCACCGGGAAAAAAAGGAAGATTATATACATTTCCGAAATCATTTTGAACAAATTCTAGAAGTAGAATGCAAACAACGCGATTCAAGTAATGTTTTCGCGGCTCGTAATGAAAAAACAAAAACAAAACAAAAACATTAAAATCAAAATAATCCAAACTAATTCAGCAGTGCAGAACTTTCTCTCAATGTATCATATGTCAAGATCCCAGAACTGCTTGCATAGTATCGTGCTTTCTGATCTCATGATAGCCCGATGGGGAAATCCATATCAATCTCCGTATTTCGAAAGATCATTTTTGTACGGGTTAATTTTTTCCGCTTGCGTCATGCAGCTGATCGTGACGGATCTCTTTCATCTCTCATGTTTTTTTTCTTCTGTGATTTTCTCTCTTCCTCCTTCATATGATAGGGGTGTGTTCAGCTATTTATTTTATGTGCATTCAACACATCCTTTACCTTCTAAAAAAATCTCAGTGTAGCCGTGTTTATTCTTTGCTTCATATGTAAATATATAACTAACATTTCATAAAAAAAAGAATTCGTATTACTTCGCTATATTTCCTAAGGACATGTAACATTCTGTAGTCTTGCTAGCACAGCATCCTTT